AACCATTATACCCTGATTTCCCATTGAAAATGGGTTCAGGGTATAATTAATAAAAATATTACATATTATGATTGGGTGCCTAATTAGCTATATTCCTATATTTTCTCATGCTACAATTCATTTAGATTAATTTTTGCATGCGAAATACTTTTCAGTTTGAAAATGATCTTTCTTTAACTGTTTATGAACTGCGCAATTTTCTTAACATATTGCCAAGACAAAATATTTTTCACGGATTTGCAATTATATATTTTTTTATATAAATATATATATATGTATATGATATAGATATATATTTTTGTATGAGTAACTCAATTAAGCTAACAGTAATTAAACCCGTATTTTTTCCAGTTCCATAATGAATCAAAATCAGAAGTGGGTTGGTCAAGGGGCTGGTAAAGACGACCAAGCAAATGCTGATTACAATATGTATACATTATCTATAACTAGATAATGATAGCAGAATTTCTTTTTCACATAAATGTGAACAAATAGACGCTTCGAAGTCAGTTACGAAGTAGCCTTTATGTCGAACGAATCTTAACTCACGCGTGACCAATAAGTGACCAAAAGAAATGACTATCGCCTATGTTACCACAAACGAAGCACAGCCAGCGCAGGTTACCTATGTTACCAGAAATGAATCGCAGCCAGCGAAGGTAACCTATGTAACTGCAGGTCCTGCCCCACTACCACCACAAACCACCTATGTTCAGGTGCGGACTCGACGACCCACCAAGCAGAATGCTCACACAGCGACATCAGGTGGGAAGCAAAAACAACAAAAAATATATATACATATATTATTATAAATTAATAAATAAATATATACTATATACATATACTCTTTATAAATAATAATATATAGTATACATTGTATATTATATATTTATATTGAAACTGAGGAACAAAAATCTAGAAATGTGACACAAATGCTTAAAAAAAAAAAGAGAAATTCTTCTTCGTGTGTTCAAGAACTGATATTGCGTTATCTAAATAAGTAAGCTACGTAGCTTATATTAATTGACATTTCATATCATATATATGTACCAGTATTTTATGATATAGATATATTATACATATATAGTTTAACCAATTCGAAATTCCCCGTCATTCTTGACTGCAATCAGCAAAAGAAATATATTCATAAAAAAACTTCTAGAAAATTTTGGTTATAAAAAAACCTCCTCAGTTGTCAAAAAATCAATGAAGGCAATATCATTCGTGATGGTTTTTTTTTATATTCCACTATAAATAGATATAATAACATTAAAGTACACGAGTGACTCAATCAATATAAATACATAATATATTTATTTGAAAATCCATTCTGTAATTGTTTTCAAGAGAAATATAATGACAATAAGGGCAAATTATTTTACTTGACTATTTACCTATTTTTATTTGACATTTAAAATTATGAATACGAGTTAAATGTAATGCCACGTGGTTTACTTTTAATTACTTTTTTATATTTAATAGAGAAGAGCCCCACACATATGAATAAGCTGCAAAAACTGAAGAATTATTTTTCATATCGACAATAATTATTCCAAACAGTTTCAAGTATATCAAATAGAATTAGGAAGTAGATTAAAAGCCTTCTAAGATATATTTAAAATTTAATTAATAATCGAATTGAGTGCGAAGCTTTTGAAAAAAAAAAATACGCATAGCTTCAAAGGCAAGGAGTAGTATAAATAAATCCAATAGTGTAATATTTTATATCCCTATTCAATCTACTTTATTTAAAGCAAAATTTTGATTAAACAATTCTTTACTCTAGGCATTTTGTTGTTTGCTTATGGCGGAATGGATATGGCCCAGGGCCTTGGCTGGAATATATCGACGGATTTGCCCACAACTTCGGAGATGCAGTACAGCTGGTTCATTGGCGTCATCATCGGCGCCTTTGTGGCGGGCTTGTCCATTACCCACATACCCAAATGGGTATTCTATGTGAGCAAGTTGAAAATTATTGACAAATTCAACAAGTAATAATCGAATGATTCTATTTCGATTTAGATATTAGGCGGACTGATGCAGTTGATTGATGGAATTATCTTCGTGAGCACATCCGAGTATACTTCATTATTAGCAGCACGCTATGTGGGCGGAATAGGCATTGGACTCCTAACGGTTACCTTCATCATACACAATTCGGAAATCACGATGAAGAACAGCCGTGGACTTTGGTGCGGCCTAGAGCAGTACAGCTTGGCGTTGGGCATTGCCATCCAGGTGATCCTAGACACACAGATGGACACTACTTCAGGTGTCGGCATCAACTGCGCGCATGGCATTTTTGGCATTGTTTTCTCCTTGGTTGCCACAGCATTTGTGGTCGTATCAATCGAATCGCCCATCTTCTATCTGCGCAAAAACAATGAGGAACAGGCTCTAACACAACTGAAGATGCTCTACGCCCACAGTGGGAATGCTGAAATCTATAACGAAGCCCTGGACGAAGCTAAGCGGTACGTGGCCACGGCTGCCAGCCAGAGCACCGGTGCCCAATTGGCGGCCTCCGTGATGCCCTTCATCAAAATGCTCTTCAGCCGCTGCCTCGTGCCGCTCACGTTCTCATTGCCCTTGAGCTACTCAATGATCACAAGCACTGTTGTTGCCGAGTTAGCCCTCAACTGGCCCATCATCGTGTGGGGCCTGCTGCGCTGGTTTGGCACCTTCTTTTCCATGGCTCTACTGGACACCGTGGGACGGAAGTTCGTTTCCCTACTGGGTCTACTGTGCATGGCCGGCCTGATGCTGGGTATGGCGGGCATCTATTCCGATGCGACTAGGCTAATAAGCAGCTATTACATGAGCCAGGTCTCTCGTCTGTCAATGGCCTTCCAGTTCTTTGCTGGGCTCTACATTTCCTGCACCCCTACCTACTTGGGTGAGGCGTTCCCACTGAAGGTGAAGTATTTCCTCATCGGCCTGATCGTCTGCCTCGAGCAAGTGATTCACATCATTGTTATTGAGACATGCCCAATGAATGTAAATGTCTTCTACCAATACTTCCTGGCTGTGGGCATTATCCTGGTGGTGTGCCTAATCATCTTTGCCGTGCTTATGCCAGAGACGCGCGGTCTATCGCTCCGTCAGGCCACCGAGCGATTCAATCGAGTTCATGATGTCATGGCTCACTAAGCAGAGGCTTAGCCCAGAGCATTATTGGATTTGAGCTCGCATTCTCGTTCTTAACTTACCTTATATAGCGAGCAATTACTCACAGAAAGTGTATCATTATTGTAGACAATAAAGTGATTCACACATTTTTAAAATTACCACGAACTTTCGCATCGCCTTTTAGGCTGCCAAACTTTCAAATACACAGCTTCTTAGCTTTGGTTGCATGGCTGCTATTAGTGCATAAATCATAGCCGTTCTTTTCATCTCGCTTAGAGTATATGGTATGTGGAGTTTGTCAATGTTCCGTTCTGCTATTCAATTATATCAAATATTAGATATAATATATGAGATAATATATGACAGAAACTAGAGTAAATATATTGAGTTCATTTCAACATTAAACTTGAAATACCTAACAGTTCGGTTATTTTCAACCGAGCATGTTTAGTTTTCAGTTATAATTGGACTGTGAACGAGTATTACGCAGTTGGTTACACCCCATTGCAACATTCATAGTTGGTTTCTTCTCCCATTTGCTAGCAGCTGTTTCATTTTTTCGACTTTTATTACAATTTATGTCTTCTTGAATGCTTGATGCTGTTAATTTTCACACAACGCAGCCAATGAAGACTATTTTTATAAGCTTGCGGTCATTGCGGTTTTCTCTCTCTCTCTCTCTCTCTCTCTCTCTTTTTCTATCTTTTCAATTTTTTATTATAAACTAATTTATGTCTCCGCTGGTTGTGCGAGCGGGATAAACTTCCTCGGCCTCGTGCATGGCGTGGCATAATTCCCTACTCGTAGAGCTTTGTAGTTTGGTTAGCAGCAATATCGGCCCATGCTGCTAGGCTCTACTAATTTTGACACTTTAATGTCGCTTTATTTGTGAAGATTAAAAGTTGACAAGTGTGTTCAGATAATGCTGCCAACTTTGAATGTGTGTTTATTACATATTTGTGGATCATTGGATTTAGTTTGTTAGCCACAGCTGCTGTCTTAGATTAAGTAGAGTTGAGGCTAGGGAATGTAATAAGCACTACATATTAATATTATATTATTAATATATCCAGGAAAAGTTGACTGTTTCAATAAAAATTGCAAGAATAAATTAACTTTATACACACATAAATAGTAATTCTTATTATCACAATTGAATTTGTTGTGAATGGTTGTAGGACAGCCACACATTATAGTGCGCAGAAATGCGCATGAAAATTGCATTAAAATATCTACAAGATACGAACCTAATGAAGGAATGGCAATAAAGGACCATTGCAACAGCAGCAGCCACTGAGCAGCCCAGCCATAGCTGGGAAAAGTATTCACTGCCCCTAAATGGCGCGCACACACACACACACCTACATACGAGCATTCGTAAATGGATTGAATGCTGACCAAGATGGGGAAATATGTGTTGGCCAATTAAGTTAAATCGAATCGACAAGCTGCAAAATGCATGAAAAAATGTTGTTAGCCCGATGTCTTTCAGCTTTCACAGCATTTGCCAGACGAGACGCCAAATGAATAAATGCATGTTCGTGATTTTTGCATCAATTGAAGGCATCGCCCATGCACATCACAGCGAGGTGACAGGTCAAGTTAGTTCCTTACTTCCCTTACCTCTCCCCTCAGCGCATAAAGTTCACTCAAGTGGAAATAATCGAATAGTCAACGAAACTGCATTTAATTGTCCGGAATTGAATAGAAGTGCCGTTAACATCTGTAATTGTCCCAGACTTTCTTTAGGATTTGCCGCAACATTTACGGATTTCATGTAGTTAATTTATTCAGTCATAAAAGTCACAGACTCTTAAAAGAGAATCACCTGTCTGCCAATAACGGGACTTATGCTTACTGTTACTTACTTGAATTAAAGTTTTTTTTCTTTAAGTTCCTCAACTATGTAGCAAAATCTGCAAACAAAAATTAAAGGGAAAGGCATGTATTAGATATTTATTTAACTCTTTTATTTTATTAATAATAAAAAATTAAATTTACTGATCTAAATAAAGCTCAAGTTTCTTGAATTGCAAAAAAACGAAAAATAGTTTTAACTTCTTCTTGTACGAAATATTCGTATAAGAATCTCTAGATATTTTCAGAAATTCGCGGCTTATAAAATCTTTAATAAAATAGAATCGTGGACTTTCATTATATTAAATCAAAATATTTAATAGCCGAACTTAATAACTGCTAAGCCTTATGAATTAGTTAAGATATATAAAATAAGTTTAATTGCATATCTAGTCTCGATTTAGCATACGTTCTGGCAGCTATGGAAATAAATAATATATTTTTGAGCTCAGATAATTAAAGAGAAGCGGCTCACTGTATTCACAGCTGACAGCGGACAGTCGACTGTCGACAGGTAACGCAACTGCATGTTGTATTTGACAGGTGTTGGCAAACAAGGGCTGTGCTTGCTGTGAAACTTGAAGTGAGTTTCAATCGAACAGAGAGTGTTCTATAAATATAACAATTAGCAATATCCTGTGCCCTGTTCAGGCTGTCAGTAAGGGCTACAAAACTTTTGAACTTTGGCTTACTTCGAATCGACAATTTTGCACTTTTGCACCTGCCGCAAACGAAATGCTGAAAAATGAGCCATGTAAGTCTTGAATGATTGATAGTTGTACCGAATGGCTGAGCGAGCGACTAAGTGAATGAGTGAATGAGCGAGTGAGTGAGTGACGAAGTCTGTGAAATGTCGACAGAGTCCGTGACCTGACACAGGCGCTTTTCACTCCCAGCTCCACCAACGTCTCCATCTACATCTCCATCTCCATTTCCATCTGTCAGCTGTCAGTTTCGCACGTTGGCAGGCTCTGAACTTGGTATTTTAATTGAGTTTCGAGCTCTGGCTGTGACTGCGAGCCAAGATTTATGCGATATTTTCGCGCCACCTGCTAGGCATTGAATGAAGCAATAAAACTCTAAACAGCCAAAGGTATCTAAACTTTGATGGATAGAAGAAGTAAGATCTGTTTCAAAATAAAGCTAACTGACAGACAGGCTGTCAATTATAAATATTAGAGTTTGACTACTTCTAATAGCATACCTTATAGACGCATTTAAAGTTGTGCACAGAATACATTTTATGTCGGAATTTCATTTACAATTTCAATATCATTTGGCAGAGATTAAAGCGCATATTACTATAGACTATATTGACATCCATCATAAAGTTGTCTAATATACATATATACAGATTTAAAAAGAAAGTGTATTTCTGTTGCGGAATTTCTTTTTGCAATAATTCTTCCTGGTTAAGCCGCTAGCTCGTTTAACTTTTATTGAACAAACAGCAACAGCAGTGGCAGCCGTGCTGAATTGTTTTTTTATGGTTTAGGTGCAACGCTGCGTATGCGCAATGGCTTGCCCTTGCCCGCCCCGCCCCGGCTCGCCTTTAACCTAGTTTGCTTATGCGGCTGTTAGTTTCTGTAAGCATTAACACCTTTATTACAGTTACATTTCTCTTTGCCCCGAGCTGCACTCATTGCATATGCAAATTGGAAAAGTCAAGCGGGAAAATTGCTCGATATGCAAGCAGATGGTAAAGTGGGTGAATGCCGCGTCAGTTAGTGTCCTTCGATAAAATCAATCGAATTAAAGCCCATAAAAACAGTGAAACAAATGCCTAGTTGAATCGCTGATAAGAGGAGCGCATTGCGTATACGCAGCGTTTGCCTATGCTTACAAACAAATAAACGACTGTAAATAAGTTTAAGTGAGCTATAGAAAAGTGAGTGGCTCGCTCGTCGCGCTGTTTGTTTCTCGCTGGCTCGACAAACACACAGACAGGCATGTAAACAAACATTTGAAGTGCAAACAGAGAACGAACAAGAAGTAAAAAAAAACAACTAAAAAAAAAAAAAACACAAATATATATAAACTGTTTTGATTGCAGGTAAATACTCAGAGTGAAGCCCGCATTGAGAGTGCTTGCTGCAGCCTCTCATTATTGATAGCTGTTCATTTATCATGCCGCCAGCTTTATCTATATAGTTTACCCACTCTTTTCCCTACATCCGATAAGAGCCTTTAGAGTCAACGATCTCTGGCTCTGTGTCACATCGAGTTCACAAAAACTTGCCCCTATATCAGCTGATGCAGATATCGAAACGATATTGCTGAATGGCTCACTGGTTTATTAATAGAAGACGATGACTACGGAACAGGTGATTGCATGATTTCATACAGTCAAATGAACAATGCAAACAAATAAACAAACGGAATGGCAAAAATGCTATAGTTAACGCTTCACTGGCCCAACGGATGAGGAGGCGGGGTTCGGGCGATAGATAGCTGGAGTGCAGGCTTCGGAATCAAATGGCTAAAGTTACGCCCCCACTGGGGCGTGACACTCTATATACGATGGGTGTGAGAAAGTTGAAAGCTATTTAGAGCTAACCTATCTGTATTTGGAATGTAGTTAACGGAAATCGAATATAAATGGAAATCCTATTATTGCATTTTTTGTTGTGATGGAATATCTATTGTATCCATTTATTATGTTTTCTTATTTCAAAAGATTATTTAAGCGTTCAGTTTAATTTATTTTAGATATTTAATTATCATCATTATTTGAGGTTGAAAATGCAAATTTAAGGTTTTCCACACATTATCGCGAAAATTCTACTCTAGATATAAAATCAATCAAATCATTAAAAGTGAAAGACAAATGAGAGTGTGTGTTCCAAGACTACTGCTATTTGTTTTGAATAGGTTTTATTTTTAGAGAGAGTGGAGTGTATTTTCAATGATTTGTAATAATTTTTAATTTCTGTTTTCATTACAAATAAATTTTGTCTATCTAATCTTTATGGCCTTTAAGTATATATTTGATAAATTTGAGAAACCATTTCGCCTAGAGCAACTTTTTATAATTCTTAAAATTTGACAAAAATTTGTAGCGAAAAATTATATAATAATATAAGTTAAAGCTTCCGATTGCTATTCATTTTTAGACTACAATTAGCTAGTCAACTTGACTGCAAACATGTACATAATCCAATATACTTAAACATATAAAAAATAGATAAAGTTACCTTAAAACTATAGTAATAATAAAAATACTTGATTATATATTCAGTCAGCTAAGACTTGTCATCCTAGACTTGTCTTAAGATGATTGAAACCACATTTCGAATTTCATAATGTGACCATAAAATTAATATACGTTTGCTAATTACAGTGTAGTCCGGCATGTCCCTGTTCTTATGATTATATAGAGTATGAGACCTTTTGATTTAGTGCCAACATCTGCGCATAAATAACAATCAGAGCCAATTCCAGCAATTGTGTCAATTTGCAATTACGATTCGCAACTGGTTATTAATTGATTTCTGGGTTTGGCGCGCAATAAGGCACAATGTTAAATTAATTATTCAATATTTGTAATCGTAAGGAAAAGCAGTGAAATTACTTACAGCACAGAGGCCAAAGTAATTGTCATTTCTGTAAGCAGCAGTTGCTGGCCTTTTGTTAACAACGGCCTGCCATTTGTTACTAATGACAGGTCCGTCAAACTCCCACAATTGCAACGGCATATACAGGGTATAGATGTGTATGTGTGTGTGTTTTGGAAGTAGCATGACATGAGTAAATGTTTTACCTTTTCTGCTTTGGACTTTGATAAAATGCCGGCCCACTTATTATTTAACATGCACAAAGACCAAATAGTTTCTGCGTCTGCACGGCAAATGACATATTCGATTCGATTTGTAGCCGACTTGACAAAAAACTGAATGAAGAAAAATGCGGCTATATATGTATATAAGTAGGAAAAGCAGCACAAAGTAAATATCTCAGCTCACAGCATAATAGCATCATTTATAAGGCATACAAGAATCAATCATAGGAGAATAAAATTATCCTAATAGCCGCTATTTATATAAAAGAGGCTTTGTTGTTATTATCGCTGCCTATTATTTATCGTAATACAATAAAAGTTAATGGTTATTGGAAATAGATAATATTAATGGCCTGATGAGTCGCATAATCAAGATTAGTGACATTTTAATAATTGCTAATAAATAAGTTAGCCGCCTTATACAAGTCCATAAATATTGTTTATTACTAATTCAAGTTTCCTCAACAACTGAAAGTCTGAGTCATTGCAGGAAAAATAAATATAAAACATCTATAAAAGTCTATTAGCCAGCAATTAACAATGAAAAATGCATGTGCCTATAAAAAGTATACAAATTTTCGCAACTATGATTTCAACTGCAGAGCGAATGCTTTCGTTCCGTATATTTATGGAAAATTATTTACCTTAATTTGCTGTGATTTGGGCAAAACAAATGAAAAATGTGCACATTCAGCACGAAATGCATGTGTTGAAAAGCATCAGAATATATATATATATGTATATACATACTATGTGTTGAGGTTGCTAAATGAACTGGAGATTGCGGGCGCCGTGATTAATGACTCCAAATATATTGCGCTACGTTGAACTGAGGCCGAGGCAAAGCGTGCCGGATGAGAGGTTCATTGAAGAAGCTTACCTCGCCAAATGTTAATTGAAAATATTTCTGGGAATTGTATGAACCGACTTTTGACAGCAGCACTTTGTCAGTACAAAATTATGGCTCTATGGCTCAAGTAGTTTCTTTTTTCGTTATTTTTTTCAATAATTTCAGTTTGCAATTTGCAGCGCCCAGAACGAAATTATTCAAAATTACTTGAAGGATTTCGAGTGAAATTAATGATTTGGATAACGGAAATAAAAAATTAATTTAAATAGAATATTTGGGAGTATGATGCTTTATTGGAAAAATTTCTACATCTTTTAATATATTTAACGTGTGCTCATTTTTAATTAAACACATATAATTTTTATTGAAGTCCATTTAAAATCGAAATATATTTTATATTTTATGTACATAACCATTTCTCAACAATCTTAAAAAACGCTGTTTGTTAAATATTTTTATAAAAACTGAAATCTGGTTTTTGGAAACTGGAACTCAAATCAAGTTAAGCAATAATAGTTTACTATATGTTTTATGGCTCAATTGAGATGTTTAAACATTTTAAATGAAATTAAAATAAGAAAATATACAAATATAAATACTAGAAAATAATCCTGGACAACTCTTTTGCAAGTCGAGGGCATTCAGTCTGCTTGCCGTGGGCTGTCTTTCTGAATAGTAGATATAACAGTTTGTACATTGTACGTAATTTCTTGTTGTTCTCTAGCCGCATTCGCTTTTCATTGCCTTTTTAATCCTGGCCCAGCCCGGCACCGCCTGGCCGGGCCAGACTCGGTCTGGCTTGCTCTGGTTTGCTCTCATTTTGCTTTTTTCACGCTTATTATGTGTTTTGTGTGCGTTTTTTTTACTTTTTCTTTTTTCTACTGTTTTTTTTGTTTTCGTTTCTGTTTTTTTGTTTTAATGTTGTCAGACAGGATTTTCCACTTTGGTGCAGTTGGCGTCGCCACTGCTGTTGCTGCTGCTGCTGCTGCGGCTGTTGCATTGGCGCGTTTTCGCTCAGCCCAGCTCATCTTGCAGCTGGAGGCCGCATCCGAATCCGAATCCGTTGTTGCAGACAGTGCATCTCAGCCTCAGTGTGAGCCTTTGTTGGCTTGCTGTGCCTGTGCAATTCGCAGCAGCTGGCGTGGTCATTCGGGTTAATGCCGCTTTTATTCATATTTCTAAGCGCATTATGTGGGCTCTTTTGCTCAAAATATTAGCAAAATTATGTTAATACCCCCGAGGCGGACGTTGTTGAAGTAATCAGCTACCCTTCCCCAGATGCCAGACCCATTACGATGCGTTTCATTGCCGGCACGAGCTGAATTATTTTAATAGCCACTGCAATTACGCACATTTGCGTATATAATTATATGCATATACCTGGCTACCTATCTACCCTGACATCCACGTCCTCCATTGTCGCTAGGCCTAATCCTCTTTATTGGAATAGCCTTACGGCTAGGCAAGCACAGAACTGGTCTGGCCACTGCAATTGCATGCTAAGTACTTAAAGGCCCTACAATTTGTTGTCGATATCTTTTTCAACGCCTCGTAAACAAAATACAATAATCATTAACAGCCCTATTAATATTGCCCGATTGTATACACAGCATTTCTTGTAGGCCCATAAAAGTCATCAATGGGCTATCATATGAATTTTTAACACCGTTTTTCATTAATGCTCGATTTAACTATTCGATATCAAGGGATACTTTGGAGCATTAAAGTTATATCTGAGCAATGTCATACTAAAAATAGTTTTATTACGAGATCAATATGATATCAAAGATCATAGAATCAGCGCAGTATTTAAAATAAATTAAGTAAACAGCTATTAAAAAGGCTATTAAAAACCAGTTCATCAACAAAATTACAAAAGATAGGCACTTTTTATAGGCTATAAAGAGGAAAAAACATGCCAAAATAAATTGATTAAATAAATAGAATAAGATAAAATTAGCAAGAGACTAAAACGCATTACAGGGTATACTAAAAGACTTCAACCTTGTATATTAAACATGTGTCGTGCAAGTGATGTCAAAATACACTCAAAATATATTTTAGGCACCAATAATAAACAAAATCGACGCTCCAAGCTGACCCCTGACAGCCTTATCAATTGAATAAACAGAAATAGAAAAAAAGACAAGATAGAGGAAGAGAAAAAGTCTAATATTTAAATTGAATTCAAACTAATTAGTGGCTGTCAAGTTCTGCATCTAAAGTGTATTAATATGTACCGACATACATATGTTAATTGACACTTGCTATTAAAATATACATAAAAAGCTGTTGCTGTTGCTGTTTGTGTTATTAAATATTTATGCACAATGTGCAACCGGTTAAAAACGCGCTAGAAACGCGCGCGACGCAATTAAACGGCGCCTAAAACGCGCCCATCGTTGACATCGCTTGTGGCGCTTTTTACGACTATATTCAAATGTGTCTCTGTGTCTGCATAATAATAATACCCCTATGAGCATTAGCTATTATTGCTAATGAGTCGAGCTTGTATTGGACTGGCTGCCAGAGCTGGGGGCTAGACAACTGGAGCTGGAGCTGGTTAATAGCAAATGCAAATGAGCGCCAGTTGCAGACACACAATGATCGTCGCTTGTCAAGCTTGTTAGCCAATTAGCTATGTGTGTGTGGGTGTGTGTGTGTGGCACCCAGTTCTGAGGACAGTCTGATTGATTGCCCATCCCAAGCACAGCTCAGTTTGCCATTCATCAAATAATGCTATTGCCAAAAGCCGAAAGTCAGTCAATGCAAGGCTGAGCGGATTCTCTGCTTTATGCTGGCTAGGCTACAAAACCAGGTCCATAGCTCTCAGACGAAACGAAAGCATCCGAAAATGGTGTGGAGAAAATTTTTGCAGTCAAAACAATAAGACAGCTCGGCGTTGTCCAAACAACTTGTTGCGGCTGACTATAGACAGTCGAATTTCCGGAAAAGCTGTTGTCAGCCTGTCGGGACCGGGGCGAGTCGGCTCCAGCTGGAAGGGGCTGGGTTGGTTGCAACGGGCTCTCCCTGACTTTTTCGTTATGGTTGGGTCACTTGCAGTGTGAAAAGTCAAAACTAAAAAATGTGTAATTAAATGCGTTGCTATTTGCCCCACGGGAAATGCAACAGGCGCAACAACAGAATGGAGAAACTTCTAGCAAAGACTTGAACGAAGTTCTAATGCTCTTTATATATATGTTTGTTAAATATATGGATAGTCAATATAAGAAATATAGTTCCTGTTCAGATAGTAGTTATCAAAATACAAATATGAGTAGAGTCTAATGTTCATTTTTAAGGTTTTAAGCTTTTATAAAAATTAGATTATTAGTATCAACATACCAATAATAATGAAAATAAATATATTTATATATATATTTCTTTAAATTCCAATATAAGTAGATTTTTATATGCAATATGTTTTTATAAACATTATATTATTAATATCAACATTTTTCTTAATTCTAACTTAATAGTCTATTTTAGTAAACAAAGTATTGGTCTACTTTCTAATTGCTAACCTCTTATTGTTGCCAACTATTTTAGATTGCCGATGGAGCCAGACGAAGTGTGCGGCAGAGTACAAACAAGAACAATTAACATAAATTGCGTACGCGATGCGGCTCATTGACTTTCGAAAAAGGGTTCTCATAGTTTGGTTTGGGTTCGCATTCGGGACAGCTGCCCGTCAATCATTCGCACAAATGAACTCTGACATTTCCGTAGAGGGGGCAAAGGCGGAGGCGGCAACAGAGGCAGAGCCATTGCCGCTTTGGTTAAACAAAAAGAAAAGTTACGACGCACCTGCCGCAATGACAAACAGTTTGGCTTTGCTTTGGGCGCGATAAGCATCGTCATAACAACAAAAGATTAACACGCCGGAAAAGCACAGCGACCCGATGGCCACACAGGTCAGATTAGGGACTCTGTCGGTCGATGCAACGAAAATTGCCACACGCACGCAACGGAAGCTGCAAGAGGGAGGGAGAGAGAGAGAGAGAGGGAGAGTCGGTTGGCAAGCGACACCAGGTAGGTAAGATGTGCCGGCGGTTTCTGTCGATGCCTCTGATGCCGCAAGGATGCAAGCAGCCGTCAACTAACCACAAATCTTCAAGATCGAGTTACAAACTACAACCTCACCAAACGACGACACAAGAAAAATGCCATTCCACGCAGAAGATCTAAGATAATCTTTTACTTTGATATACGCACCTTATAGCTGACAGGTGTGCCGGCCTTGCTGTTGTAGTTAAGTGTCGGTATTTGTTTATCCTCACTATTTGTAGCGAACTTCACTTTCCCTTTTATGTGTTAGCCTGAAATTTTAGTGGAAATAATAAACTCAATTAACCCGGCGAATGGAGTAATAAAGAAGATCACGATCGTCTTTCTCCGGCACTGGCCATAAATCATTTAATCAATGGTTGTCCATAAAAAGCCGCCTATTGTTCGAGCTGAGGGGCAAGCGCGCGCGATGCCAGTGAAGGCCAAACAAATTCCAGAATACCCAAACAGTTGATGAATCCACCTCCAACTTGGAAGCCCACTCGACACTCATCCGTGTTGCCGGCTGCCCACACGTCGCGCGCGCCGCTCAGCTGGTTGGGCAAGCGCCAATGCACTTTACGTTATTAATAACAAGTTCACACTCACGCACACTTACATTTACAAACACATATGTACATATATAAGTGCACATATATATTTACATATGTTGCGTACTATTTGAAAAGCCCGCGGCAATTGTAAATGCATTTATTGTGATGCCACAACAAGCGCATTGACAACTGGCAGCGTGCGCGCGGGACGACAGGCACTTTGCTAACCGTTTTGCAAACTAATCACTTATTATTACTCTTCGTTTTGGCGTAAAATCTGCTACCCCACATACTTTTCATGTATTGTTGTAGTTTATTGGTCGCGACTCGCGTCAAAAAACGAATGTTTTTGTATTGTGCGCGTACCGACGAAGGCTGCCACGCCACAACCTTCACGTTCGATGTTTTGCCTGCGACTGAGCTGTAGTTGTCGATGTATTTGATTTTTGCGCGGTTGATATCGATATATTTGATTTCGATAAACATATTACGATACTATTTAGATTCTGTTAACAATTGGCTCTGTTAACTCTTTGTAATTTTCATTTCTATTTAAGAATATTTCTATGATGGTATAATCTAATTAATAATAATGAAACTACTTCGTTGATATTAAAAATATCCCAGATTAAAAAACACAATATTCATTGTCTCCCAGTTTATTGGTTTATTTAATTTCAGAAATGTTCCATTTACTTATTCAATTTAAGGTTATGGAGTGAAAATATTAAAGTTTAGAAATGTAAGCAAAGAGAACACATTATTTGCCAATTCATTTAAGTAGTTGTTCATTTGATTTTCGATGGTTCTCAACGCTGGCTTAAATGTAATACACATAAGAAACCTCATGCAAAAGATTAACGCAATGGTTTGGATTTCAGTTTCTAGTTATAAGTTGGACAAAATCAAACAAATACACATAAGGCATATGGCAACAGTTCTCTGGCATTTTTGCATATAACATTTAGACATAGACGTACACCTTTATATATACATATACAGCACGTGCCTGAAGAAGTTGCCATAAGCAACACATCAATTAAGGCAAGTGTTAAATATCAAATTATTTGGTTTATGTAAAAAACGTAAACTGAAAATAAACTAAAAACAATAGCTAAATCGATTAAATCGAACATACCAAGAGGAGAGATAGAGGAAGATCTTAAGGACCAGACACTATCCAGCGTTGGGTGAAAGACAACGTTGGATGATGCGGAAATTCCATTGATATGGTCGAAAAGGCCACGAAATGTGGTGCGAGTAAATGTTATCCAAAAGGTTGAAAAATGCGAATATAAATTCCTAATCCGATGCGAAACGAATGCTGAAGTGAAGTACGAAGTTTCCGAAATTTCCAATATCCTTGCATATCCTGTCCATGCGCATTAGTTTATTAACTTCCACATATTCAAAGATATCTCAAAATACACCAAATTTTATCCAAGTCGAAACACACAAACCCAAAAGATGTAACGCTGTTCTTAACCAGGGTCCAAACAGTAGGAAGCAAAAGATGTTACAATCAAAATCATCTTTTCCATGTTTATAGCGCGATTATCGTGGGAGAACTGAATCCCACGTTGTCCTAGTGTTTTTCTGTGTCTAGTGTGTTTCTCTCGCTTAGGTAAAAGAAAATGCCTAAAGTCCGAATCCTTTTAAGATATCTAATATCCAAATCCTTTTGTATCCTGATACCATTTTATAAATAACACGCTTTCCGAATTGCCTGCCTCCTCTAATTTAATCCAAAATCATTTTTATCCTTTCCACTTTCCACTTCACACTTCACTCCATCAACATCAAAATTATCCTTTCTCCTCATCCTTATCCTTCCTCATTATCCTCCTCCTCCAATTATCCTCATTATACTCCAAACATAAACGCGCAAAATGGGGAAGAGAAGAAAATAAAATGAAATATTAATAATTTGTTAATGTATACTCCACAAAAATGTTTATGCTTGGATTTTGTTTACATATATTTATTCTCAATAGTGTTGGGTTCTTATTATTGCTGTTGCTGTTCAGTTTGATAGGATAAATTCTAATAAATTAGGTTTTTGTAAATTAAACCAATTTTAAAACAAGGAATGTGTAAAAAGATGAATTCCTTGAATTATAATTATTCCGAAAACTTAACTTGTCAAATGTGTATTTGTATGAATTTAATAATTTAAAAGAATTTGTATAAAGGGAAAAGCAAGTGTAGATAGTGTTCATAGATTTTGGATTCGCACTTGAATTGCTCGAGTCTTGATAAAAGGGTTTCTTTGTTTTTCGTGATATCGAAACTGCTTGATCGATTCACAGTTCAACAGAATTTAACTAAACAGATAGATAGTTAGTGGGGTATGGGAGGTCTTGATAGTTTTCTTGCTTTTCCTAAAATTTCCTGCTCGTAAGAAATATTAATATTAATGGATAATGATTGCAGAATTTAGTAATTAGAGCGTGAGCGAGACCTGGAATAGGATTGACGACGCACCGGCGAATATGTTGGAGTACCACGACGACGAGGTCTCGATGAAAACGAGCGCGAACGTGATCTGAAAATTGAATATTTATTAGAGATTCAAGTTTTCTTAATGCCTGTACCATTTTCTAAGTAATTCAAATATGCATTTAACCTAGCAGCATTTAACTTACCTATCGCGATATTCACGACTGCCGCCGCCACCACCACCACCGCCACCACGGTCATTGTCTCCGCTATCCTCACGTACCCGTATGTAGGCCACCTCTCCCTAAAAATCATACATAATTTAGTATCATTTGAAATGCATAAATCAATCGAAGCGATTGAATTATTTACCTCATGTGAACGAAAACGTGAATCGTCTAACTTCTTAATGGCATATTTCATATCCTCGTGGCGTAAGAACTCTACGACGCCAGAGCCGTCTTTGTATGTATCGGCAAAGCAAACATCACCGGCCTCACGCATATGATCCTTCAGGTCCTGCCACGAGCCTGATCCTGGCAAACCAGTTACCATGACACGGTACTGTGAGCGTTTAGCTGGGGGACCACGACCACCCATGCGACCGCCGCCATCACGACTGCGATCGTTGCGATTGTTGCCGCGATAGCTTCCCGGACCTCCGCCGCGAGGGAACTCAACTCGCAGCCGATAGCCGTCATAGTCATACCCATCACGAGCCTTGACGGCATCATCAGCATCACTGTTAGTCACCAAATATCATTAAGAACTCCCGATTATTGACGCTTCTTTAGCAAAAATTTGTTTTCATTACTTACCGCGCGTCTTCGAACTCGACAAATGCAAATGGCGGACCACGCCGATTCTTTAGATCGACAAACGTGACTTTGCCGAACTTGTGGAAAAGGTCCTGTATATCCTTGGTTCGAATATCTGGTGGCAAATTGCCAACATAAATGCGACACTCGTTGCGTGAGCCCATTTGGTAATTTATAGAGTTTGGAAGATAAATTAAAGTACAATTTTTTTCACAGAACTTTTGCTGTCACGCAATTACGCACACAAGGAAATTTCATATACACATTATGCGATGGCGTTACAAGCTTGCATGTGTAGTTATCGACAGCATGCTTTCTATCAGGTTGGCAGTACCGAAAAATGAAAAGGTTTGGTATTTTGTTTTAAGGTCAAATTTAATACCATTTAGTCAGAGTATTGCGGCGTCTGACTCTGCTAAACAAGTTTTTGTTTCCACAAAAAATGAATAGATGCTTAAATCTAGCTAAAGTAAAGCATAAAACAAATAAGAATTAGAACGAGTGTAAAACATATTCAAAATATGCGGTTATGATTCACGTCGGGATGCATAAAGCTGTGTGTTGAAGCCAGCAGACAACAGCCTTGATTATCAACGAGTGTGCGTGACTTTGTGTGTGTGTGTGTATTTTGTGTATATAAACAAACTGCGAACGCGGGAAGCGGTTGCAATTTTTTTTTCGTTAGCTGCTTAAACTTGGACAACAACACAAAACATGTCCAATGTGCGGTGCATAAATTTTTGGGATTTGTGCCGCATCTGCACCGCAAGCAGTGAACAGAAAATAAATATTTACTCCACCGATGGACGCGCAAAAAATTTAAGCCAGAAAATCTCAGAATGTCTGCCAGTGCAAGTGAGCAAATCAACATAACTGTATTAATACCAATAATTATTTGTCATCCTAATGCACAGATCGACGAAAAGGATCGGCTGCCCAAGGTGATATGCTCCCATTGTGCGCAGCAAGTGGAACAAATATACGAAATGCGCAATATATCAAGAAACTCTCAGACGATACTCAACAACTGGCTGAACCATCGGACGCTACAGAGCGAGGAGAAGGTGTTTATTAAGGATGCCGTCAATGACTCTGGAAAGAGTCTCAGCGTGCTTGGCACAACATCATCCGGAGGTCTTGTCGCAGGCAACACTAGCCAACAGCCCAATGATCTGCTCAGCAGCATCATGCAGGCAGTTGGCATGCAGGTCCAGCAGCAGCAGCAGCAACAACAGCAACAGCATCAACCACAACAGCAACCACAGCAACAATATACAATTACTGTGGATAGTCATGTGCCGGCGCAGCCGTTGCAGCATTCACATTCCCAGAATGATGTCAAGAGCGAAAAGCAAAAGTATGTTTTACTTGGCAATCAAATCATATATTTAATAGCATCTTTGCAGCACTTTGGAAGAGTTTATCCGCCTAAAGCCTGACATCAAAATTACGCCGCTTGGTAAGAAGGATTCCGTGCATAACACCCAGAGCAGCACCACCATATCGAATATAAAACAGCAGCATCAACAGCAACAGCAGCAGCCCCAACAGCAAACTGTACAGTTGCAGGCGCAGACTATAGCAGCGATGCCGGCTCCTGCTGCGCAACTGCAGTTGCAGCCGCAGCAGATTAACGACATCAATGTATTGCTGCAGCAACAGGCACTTTGGCAACAGATTCAACAGCTGCAGGCGCAATCGCAGTTGGTCAATGGAGGCGATGATGCCACGGAGAGTAAAAAACCGAAATTAAATTTTGTACTATCATCGCCAGCTACAGCTCCACAATTTACTGGAAGCTTACCACAGTTCGGCAATGTGGGTGGGACACAGCCACAAATACAGTTGCAACTGTTGCCAGGCGGTACAAGTTCTAGCAATAACTCAACGGCCAGCATTGCAACAGCCCAGCCCGCCCAGCAGCTCAATGCAGCCGCTCTGCTATCCCTGACAGGCACTCAGCTAGTTGGTGGTAGTGGAGCCGCCAACATGCTCTCTCCAAATAAATGCTTCTTGCCAATAACTATACGTGATGAAAACTCAGACCAGCAGATTGTAGCACACATCGACACAAAGAATCTGGTGCTGCCCACCACATATCAGGTGCAAATGAAGGTGAGCATTAATTAGCTGAAGAACGAATCTAATATGCAAATAGAATGTACTTACGTATGAGGTAAATTCATATTTGTATTTTGAGCTTAGGTTTTTAAATGCATATTTAGTAAATTCAAATTATTTTCAATTTTGCAGCTTCAGCCCCAATTGGCCACAGCAGACGGTCAGCCCATCATGCAGTTGACACCAACTTCCATTCCAGCCACATTGCAGTTGACGCCACAGACGTTGGGCAATGCGACGGCTTTTCAATCAACGACAACACATCAAAATCAGTTCCTTATGCCACAACCGCAGCAACAACAACAACCTCAACAGCAACAGCAACAACATTCACAACAGCAACAACAACATTCGCGTCAGCAGCAGCAACAACTAGCGCCTGCCACAGCACAAGTAACCTCACAGCAAATCATTCGATCTCCCCATGGAAATGGGAACAGCTCACAGGTGGTGATTCGGAACGTCAGCGCTGAGCAAAGCAGTGGTGAATCGTCGGTGACATTCAAGATGCCCTCTCCACGGCAGCTGCAGCAGCAGCCTCAACAGCAGCAGATCAAATATAAGGCTACATCGTCCAGTGCTTCTTTAGTTGCAGCTCCCACAGCTGTTACGTCCAGCAATACGCTCCAGACAGAGTTTAAGCGTGTGCCGCAGATTAAACAGCCGCCATCTCAGGCAGGGCAAACTAACGTGGCTGCCTTGCAGCGACTGTCGTCGAATACAACCATCACCAAGTTGCCCAAGCAGCAACATCCCGTGGCGAGCCACAAATTGCCGCTGATCAACAAACAAAATATAACTATTAGTCGTATATCCACACAGGCTGCCCCAAAGCCAGAGGCAAAGCCGACGGCAACGGTACAGGTACAGGTACAGGCACAGACACAGGCACAGGCACAGGCACAGGCACAGCTACAACTGCCGAAAACCGAGCCAGCGCCGCCACCACCAGCTCTGGCGGTGCAGCAGCTGCCTTCGCCGCCAGTCACAAATATTCTTAACCAACGAAAAATCAATCGTAAGCCGCCCGAGCAAAATCAGAAAACAAAAGCCGCTCGACCGCAGCAGCAAATTCTGCCGGTGCCTACAGCGGCACAACCCACACAGCCGCAGCTGCAGGCGCAGCCCCAACAACAGCAGCAGCAGTTGGCCAACAGTTCGGTAGCTGAGCCGCCCACAGCCACGCCTGTCAATGCACTTACCTGTCCCAACTGCCGGCGCGAATTCAAGAAGAAGGAGCATCTTACGCAACACGTTAAACTTCACGAGGGGCTGCGTCCCTTTAAATGCACCGAAGAAGGCTGCGACAAGGCCTTCAGTCGGAAGGAGCATTTGTCCCGCCATCTCGTCTCCCACTCTGGCCAAAAGATGTTCACCTGTGAGGAGTGCAAGAAGCCGTTCTCGCGCAAGGATAATCTCAACAAGCATAAGCGGTGAGTACATTCAGTCCTTAACTTATTATACCCTGAACCCATTGAAAATGGGAAATCAGGGTATAATGGTTTTGTGAAAAAGTATGTAACGGGCAGAAGGAGGCGTGGCAGACCCCACAAAGTATATATATTCTTGATCAGCGCGATGAGCTGAGTCGATATAGCCCTGTCCGTCTGTCCGTCCGTCCGTCCGTCCGTATGAGTGCGTCGATCTCAGAAGTTATAAGAGCTAGAAAGCTGAAATTTGGCATGCATACTCGTGTGTACCATACGCAGTACGAGTTTGCTTTATTTTTTCGATAATTGATCCGATAACTTTTTTATCGAGAATAATCGAAAATTCGGCATTGTTTTTTCAGCCTAATTTGAACATTTTTAGACATGGAGTCTTTAAATTTGCGTTGTATATAAAGTTAATCGATACAAAGATTTTGTTATTTACAGATTTTGGATACCACGCCCCCTTCGCCCCCAATTTGTAAAAAACGCATTTGCTTTGGAATGTACACACATATTCATCATATGATTACACTCTGAAAGTTTCATTTAGATCTTATGTCTACAAAAGAAATTATTCAACAAATAAATTTTCATAATATTACCCACACTGCAGCGCAGCCCAAGCGCAGTCGCTGCTTACTGCGCAGTTGGCAGAACGCAGGCTTATGCGTGCGTGTGGATGCATGTGTATGTATGTGTGCATAAAAATGCAGAATGATTAGAATATCAGCTTAGAGGGTTCAGGGTATCTCCTAGTCGAGCAGTCTCGACTAGAGCCTTCTTACTTGTTTTTTGTTTAATATACAAATCTACAAATTACAAATACAATATTCTTTATTGTGGATATTTGTTAATAGTCGATTTTATTTTTTTAAATACCTGACTTACCTTCTCTTCAGAACTCACAACATCCAGCCTGGCGAGACTCGACTGCACACCTGCGAAATCTGCAATAAAAACTTTGCGTCGAAGCAGCAATATGAGAAGCATCGTGAGATGCACAAAAAGTCACGTGCCGGGAACGCAGCTTCCGCCACACAAGCGCATACAGGTGGTGCAAAGGTAAGAGTCGTTGAGTTTTCCTTTCCACATAGACTAATTGGCGCTTTGCTTTGCAGAATCAGTATGAAGTGAAGCAAGAATCCTCAAGCGGCGCACAAGCGCAGCAGCCGCAACCTCAAATGCAAATCCAACAGCAGCCGCAACAACAACAGCAACAGCAGCAGCAGCCCCAACAACAACAGCAACAGCAGCAGCAGCCTCAACAACAGCATCCACAAATCATGCATGTAGATTTGGATGGGAATACAATAACAATAACTCAGGCAGGCGATTCCTCTATGCCATCTCTGGCGAACTTTGTCCAGCTGGGACTATCACAATTTCACAATGGCAGCGGGTCCTCAAACCAAATAGTTTGTAAGCTTGAAAAGTAGATACAGATTTGGTTCCACTGGAGTAGCTCGACTTCTCATCTAGTCCGTGTGTTCTACTGCCAGGTTCCTTAGCAGAACAAATGTTGACGCGTTTTTCTCATTATGTTTTACTTATGTTTAGGTCGATCCCTTTCGTTTTTCAATTAAGCAAAGGGCTTTCAGTTCTATTTGTGCAATATACGCGTTCGTTTTATATTATTTTTTATTGTATATATTTTATTTATATGTTTGTTTGTTTGCCTTGTTCCTTCAATCTAATTTATTTGCTTATTATTTCTTTTACGATTCATTTCCAAAATTATTTATATTTGTTTCTTTAATTTTAATTTTAAAATTATACAAAGCTAAGCGCTAGGACTTGCCAATATTAGAGATACATATTTATAGATATAAGGCCGATTTTAGTAGCATTTAGATGTAAATATTTATTAAACGCAAATATATAAACTAGTAGCCGTAAACGTATTTGTAATACTAAGTAAGACCTTTGTAATGCCCACACCTGTTAGGTGGAAATGGAAATGGAAAAGGGGAAGTTCAACCAAATCGAAAATGAAAATAAATGCAATTGTTTCATTTATGGAATAGATATTTTATTTGCTTTGAGTGCTCTGTGTTCGATGCGCAATAGAACAGATGGCAGCCATCGTTGTTTAAACAATATGTTCGAGTTCTTTTTGGGGTATTTCGTGGACTGAAAATATAAACTGGAAAAGAAAAAATAAAGAAAAATAGTTTTCTGGCCATCCTTAAATCATTTTCTTTTCCACGAAACGCAACGAATGCAGGCAAACTACTAAATACCATTGGCAGCACGATTCCAACTAAATATTACGCAAGCACGTTCTGAAAATTTCAAGTGAAATGAATTCGAAACCATAAATTAACAAATTACTCAACATTTAAGGGGATTTAGGATTGTAAAATTAAATAATGTAGTTACTTTCTTGTTTTTTCTTTTTTTTATTATTATTTTGTATTATTATTAATACTTTGAATGGGATGTGCGATTGCCGAATTCGTATCTTGCTTATATTTTATAGAGAATAAATAAATTTCAAATTCTTTGGCTTAATTATATATAACAAAAAAGAAAAATACAATAAAATTAGCGACTACTTTCTACATTCTACATAAATACTACTGGATAGTGGGTACGCTCCACTCATGATGCAGCAATGGAGCTATCCAGCCAGGCGCAGTGCAAAAAGCGTAGCAGGACGATGCAATTTACTCCAAATGTGAGACTGTAAACCGAATGATTGCGATTTTGATTCATACATATATATATGTATGTATATATTTAGCTTCCGTGTGAATTGTGCATGTGACTACGTGCAAATAACGTTGTTAGATGTGGGAGAGAGCAAAACAAACCAAGCCGAACCAAACCGAACAGAACCAAGCCAAGCAAAGAACAGAACAAAACAAACAAACCCAAACAGAAACCAAGCGGTGGACCAAACATACCAGAAGAAAACAGATTTATAGAGAAGAGCAAGAATGCAGCGCTAACCTTATAGCTCGTTTATCAGGTTTGCAGCTACCCTCAATCGTAACTCAATGAGAATTGGTTTATCTTTTGGACATCGCCCCACACCTGAATCGACTGTATGTCGGATAGGGAAAAGAGCGTTTCGAATTTCGTAACGAAATTGTGGCCCTGGCCACGCACTTGATAAACGTGTATGGTCGAATTATTGTAATCGAATTGAAACTCAAGCGAAAAGGTTGACTCTGTGAACGAATAGTGAAGTACGGCATCGATGCCGTCATCTATAATACTGGATATGCTTGGCATTGACTTGTCGTTTTTACCATCGAATATATTCAGATATTTCTCCTGATGCGCGTCGCTCCACTCGCCATTGATCTTGTAATTCTCGACGATCGTCTGTGCGGGTACCCTAACTTTAAAATGATATGTTATGTTGTCTGTGCAGCTGGGACTGTTTACGAAATTGATCGAGAATCTGTAAATGAAAAAAAAAGAAACCCCCAGAAGAGCATATTTAGTTAGTAATTAACAAGCAAATACATAGTCTATGGGGACTCCACTGTAACAGATGCGAAATTCCTAAGCTCGAGTCCCTAGATACCCCTACACACATCTTTAAGCTAACCTTTGTGGGTCTAGTCAAATATCTCCGCGTAGCTGTGAAGCACGTGCAACACATTCACAATCTACGCCTACAATATAATTTGTTTCCAACCGGTATTCCAAAATGATTCATTGTAAATTCGTTAGTGCCTCGTTCCCCGTTCTTACACATTGGCAAAGCTCAACTCTCTGAATGTTTGTCACATTCTTCAAATAACACTTAATTCTCATACGTGTTCCTGAAGTGCTATATTGGTTTTACCTACTATCCGCTTCGCTGTCCGAAGAACTTGAAGCACATCATAGCTATTGAAGTTGGAGACATTAAATTTAGAATATATACATACATTTGTATGTATATACTGAAGCGAGGTTCTAATGACAATGTGCTACCTACTTTGTTTTCTCTAACCCACTGAAGGCATGACAAATTACCATATCTTTTACCACATATACGCTATTATTTATGGCTCTACATACATAAACGACAATATATAAGAGATATATAATCATTTATGACCGATCGATAGATAAAATAATATAGGTTTTTATTTTATAGAGCCGGATTGATATATCAAAATTGATCGATATGATGCATATAAATAGTAACATATTAAAATTAGTCCGTTTGTAATCACACAGAAGAAATATAGGTACTATAGACTCGTTTAAATATCAGTTCAAAGACCATGACCTTTTAAATAAAGCAAGAATCTTGCGTTAATGAAATCAAGAAAGAATGTCTATTTTTAGCCATATGGAGATAAGATTGATTTAATTTTTGCATTTTCGTATGAGAATATAAGATTTTTATTTATATGTTGAGTGTTGCAGAAGAAAAATCGTATTACTTTATGGTATTGCTGCGTATCAACAGGTTATGTTTCTTTAAAGTTTAAATATTTGTTTCTTTGAGGGATTGCTACATGATTAATGTATTAAGATACATTCTAAGCACCCCAATCAGACTATTCATAAATATAATGTTGTCAATAATAAATGGGTTAAACAATTCAAGTGAAGATTTCAAGGGGTTTTAAGAAAAGGAGCTATCTAGAGAGGTATCTTATCTTAAGAAGGAATCTACGTAGTTTGTGTGTAAACATTAGTCATGGATCTACCTTATCATTATAAGGGTAACGAATGTAAGACAAGAAAAATTAACAATCAATGCTCGTGTTATCATCGCGGAAAGATAGCGTTATTGAGCGAAATATACCGTTTGTAAATAAATGCCAATGTCACGCCTTACAACACAAAGCCGGATCCAAGCAGTGTAAAGCCACAAGCACCGGCACTATGATGAAATAGTAGAATTAAGATTTATTGACATCATTTGCTCAGTGGCCATCGAATTGAAGAATGGGCACCCAGACTGGCCATCATACAGGCATATTTATTATCTGATGCTTTTCATAATATTAATTGTCTGTTCTCTGTTTTAAAAAGATTTCGCCTTATTGTTGTCAGCGACCGGCGTCTTGAGCGCGGGGCTGATGATGCTTTCATTTTTTTGATGTTGATGATGTCATTGGTTATGGGAACTGATATAGATTTGCCAAGAGCAAGGCGAGCCGCAGATAATTTATGCTGCAGGCTGGCATATCAATTAGATCCTAATATATTTAGGCTAAGCAAATAAACAGACTGAATGCCTCTCGTTCTGCGCCAAAGATGTATATGTTTAACATTATAAAAATAAAGCCAATAATGTGGCTAAAATATTTCACACCAATATGTGTGCATTTGCTCTATAAACCCAATTTAGAAATGTCTGTTTAAGTGGAATGTTGGCAAAACTATTAAAAATGTTTGCACGCAAGTTTCGTAATGGCAGTTCTAAGAAAAATTAGGTTACTTCGTAATGGCAGTTCTAAGAAAAATTAGGTTACTTCGTAATGGCAGTTCTAAGAAAAATTAGGTTACTTAAAGGGCTCCATCGATTTTCTAAAACAATAAGAGAGTACTGTTCTTAAGTGGCAAGAGTTAACCTACTGTTCTGGTTCCTGCAGCAGACATCCTTGGATACCCATTTTGCTCATCCTGTCTGATTCGTTGGGAATTGTTGGTAGCACAACCAAGTATTTAACTTCAGCCATTTTAAAACTTTACTTTATTTTATTGAAGTGTGCCACTAAAATATATGTATGCAGCTGTTAGACACGTTTAAACAATTAGACCCAACACTTATTCAGGGTTTGTCTACAAGTCAATAAATTGCAATTTCATTCAACAAAAATGTAAACAAATTCGACTTCGCTCCGCTCCGCTTTGATTTGCTTTGCTTTGCTTCTCTGTTGGGTTGCTAACGGTTACAGGCTAGCCGCGAGGTCTTTACAGTTCGCTTGCTCGAATAATACTGTTCGACTGCAATCAAGCAGCAGCAAAAATAGCAGTTCAAAGATCGCACAACTACGCGACGTCACGGGTAAAGCACATTTCGCTCAATACGAGGTACATATTCCCCCTCTCATTTATGTTTAACAATAGAAGAAACTAACTAAGCAACTGCTTCCGACATCGACACACGCTCTAAGTTCTTTCCGCCGCGTTGACTGAGTCAATACTGTCTGAATTTTCGGCTTTCTCGCATTCCACAGACGAGAGCAACAACACACCGGCTTTCATACACTCTCGCATAAGTATAAATTATCTTATCGAATAGATATGGGTAACAGAATTTCATTTACTTAATCACATTAGTTTTTACATATTTATGATGAACTAGAATTCATACAAACAAGAAACAATTTTTAAATTGTTGTCTATTTGCTGTCTGAAAGCTGTTTAAATATATATGTATATAATCTGTAAATATTTCAATTTGGCAGAAATAAATGAACCCAGCGATCGTTCAGATAAACACAATTCTTATTTCGCTCGACAATAAATTATAAACTACACTATAGTCTATTTTTAGGCAGGGTAAGGCATACAAATAATCAAAAAAAAATCTAATTTTCCACAGGCAAGTTAAACATAAATTGCACAAAATTAAATATTCAAAAAACCTGCTTATTTGATTTACAGTAAAAAGAAAACATAACACTCTTGATTTTTAATTCCACAACACGATCGTCAAAGAAGTATTTTATGTCATTTTTTTAATATCATAATTCTACAGTATATTTTTGCTGAGCATGCAATATGTGTTGGTTAGTATTTTTCTTCAGAAATTCGATATTAAATCTCGTTCAATGACTGGTCACACAGTCAAGAACCCAAGTCGAGCTAACAAGTTGGCTGCCAAGCTAACGTAAGCATCAAACAAATACTACATTTTAAATAAAACACTTCAAATCAGCGTGCAAAATGAACACGTCACAAATAGTAGTAATGTTATGTTTCATAGTCGGCGTCGCACAAACGGCACTGGCGATCAAAGAGGACGACTGCGAAGGTATGTATGCCTTCTATATAAAAAGTGGGCCGTTGATGGCCACGTAAGTATAAAATGCTGTAGAACAAATTTTCACCGTATGTAATTACAGTTTGTGTGAAAACTGTTAAACGTTTTGCCGACACACTGGACGATACGACGAAAAAGGATTATAAATTGATTGAAACTGCATTTAAAAAATTCTGCAAGACACAGAAAAACAAGGAACATAGATTTGTGAGTAGACCAAGGCCATTTTGCCGGCAAACAGGTTCTCATCTAACAAATAAAACATACGAAAACTTTCTTTTTATTTAACGCAGTGTTATTACCTGGGAGGTCTTGAGGAGTCAGCCACAGGTATTTTGAATGAAATGAGCAAACCACTGAGTTGGTCAATGCCTGCGGAGAAAGTATGTGAAAAGCTGAAGAAAAAGGATGCACAAATTTGCGATTTACGTTATGGTATGTGATTCAACATTCAACATTTAATATGTGATATGTTTCTAACAGTTATATCTACTTTGCAGAGAAACAAATTGATTTGAACAATGTAGACCTGAAGAAGCTGAAAGTGCGGGATCTGAAGAAGATCCTTAACGATTGGGATGAGAGCTGTGACGGTTGTCTAGAGAAAACCGATTTTATTAAGCGCATCGAGGAGCTTAAGCCCAAATATTCACGCAATGAGCTGTAAATAAATTTACTTAGTCCTTTACGAGACACGCCCACTCAAAACCACTATACAACACCCATACACATATATTTTAGTTAATTTACAATTTTGATAGACTTTGAGAGAAATAAATATCTATTTTGAAATATAAAATGGTAAGCCCGAAAATGTGAGAGAAGATACACAATAAACCCACAATGACCTCGTACACTTTTTCGTATATAATAATTGTTTTATTCATGTGTTAACAATATTATTATTATTATTATGATTCAATACAAAATTAACGTACAAATTACAACAATTGGACAGTGAAAAAGAATGACATAAGGGTTAAGTATTTCAATTGCACTTAATACATACCCCATAATAATTTGATTTAACTTAACTATGTATTCGTATATGCCAAATGGGGTACGCATTATTAAATAATTAAATTAAAATTATTAGTTAAACATATGAGCTAATTACGAACAAAAGCAGTTTTATTTTAGTTTATTATCAACTAACAGATAAGATAGATCTTTCTGATCTACAAAGTCGATCAACGACGATACGGCTGCTTGTTGTACCGCCCACGTTCGCTCTCCTCGGCCAGATTTGCGTACTCACTGTAGACGACACACCAGCAATATGTGAGTATAGCTGGAAATAGGAAAACATAGAAATATTTAAATTGAACAGAATCAAAATATTGGGATAACATATGTATTAAAACCAGTATGATCAATTTTCAAATGGGGGAATTTTTACTCTTAGCGTAATCGGTTAACAAACGGCTAGATCTGACTGTAAAAAGGCTAAATCAAACACAGCAAGAAAATACAGACAACATTTAAAGCGTAGCATACTTTCGGGCACACTTTGAAAATAGGGATGTTTCAAAAGAAGCTACATATGTTAGCAATAGAAATGTATACAAAAAATTGCATTAAAAATAATATAAACTAATTATATTTTTGTTCACTTGTCAAAAAAGAGCACAAATTTTTTCTTCAGTACTGTCAAAATTAAAGTAGATGAATTGATTCTCTGTAAACATATTATTTAAGACATATAAATGTTCACCTAGATAAATATGTATAATATCTATGTAAACTTCTACGTATCTATATGTTGACTTAAGAAAATTAATAGCTATTACTGGCGTAGATTAAAATAAAAAAATAATATAAATGTAGAAGCCCAATAAATGGCTATAAATGCAATTAAGATTAAGACTTTATTGGATCGGAGCCTGAATATCTTTTATATGGGAATGACTACTGTGTGCCATTTGGCAGCCAAGCTAATTGCGTAGCAAGGCACTTCGCGCCTCATTTGTCAGTCAGACTGAACTCCGCGCCAGCCGCATTTTGCTCTCGGTACGAAGGTGATCGACGCATGATAAATGCGTCAATAAAGTGAAAATGGCTGGCATATAAACGCCATCCGGTGCTAAAAACCGCACAAGGAGTAGCCACCATTAGCTGGTGTAGATGATATGCACTTACCGCAACAGATCAGCCCGAAGATTAGCCACAGAACGCCCGTCAGTACGAAGCCGTCGATGAAGAAGACGACGGCAGTGTAAATTACAGAAATGAGCAAGCCAATGGCAATCATTATGCCCAGCACCACCCACGGAACCATCAGATAATGATTGCGCTATAAAATATTAATATACATGTATATAGATTTGGAATTAGCTTATTATAAACAATGGTCATAAGCATACCTTGACAACGCCGAACATCATTAGCAATGATATCAATATAGTCATGCATAGATTTACCACTAGAATGATTTTCACTATGTTGTTTGGTATGAAGTCAAAGATAATCGTCTTGAAATGCACGCGTGCTGTGAATATCACAATTATCGTGATGATGGATAGAATGATGGCCAAAGTTCCTGATATAATGGAGCCATTACGTGTCGACTGACACAGGCAGCAGGATTTGACGAGAGGTTTCGGCATTTTGAATATGATTTATTGCTTAGCTGCAGATAGAAATATATATAAAATATTTGTATAAAATCGTAATATTGTATAATTATATATATATATATTATATATAAACATGTAAATATTTTTGTTTTTACTTTTAAATTTCTTTTATTGCTAAAAAATTAAAGCAAAGCATTTTTTTTTTTTTTTTTTTTTTTTTTTTTTTTGCTGTGTTCTACAATCATTGTAATATTTCGACGTATATCAATCGAGTCATAATTTGAGAAATATTAAGCCCATAAATCATTTTTAAAGCCCTATAAAAACTAAATACAGCTAGTCGATTCTAATTGAATTATATTTTAGCTGCCCTGACCTTTATATATATGTATATGTTCTGCATATATACATAGAATTTATTTATTTATTTTTGTTGGAGCATATACATACATACATATATTCTGCCCAATAAAAAATCATAAAATGTATTTTCTCCATATGTGCCAAAAATGCTTTTAATGAACCCCGAAAAACTATAAAATAGGCTTTTGACACCTTGAACTCAGTTTTCTCAAAATGATGACGTGATAGACATATATGTAAGTCTTCTATTTTTTCCAGCAATTTTATAAGTTATTAAAGTATAATCGAATTTAAGAATACTTGTAGGGAATTATCTTTATTAAGTGACACTTACAGATAAGAAGAGGTTCTGTCACACCTCAAACAGGTTAATCACTTAACTTTACTATTTACTTTAACGTTCGCTCAACTGTTTGTCAGCATCACACACATTATGAGTGTGTGTTGCAATTCCCAGATGCATTACGAGCACAATGCTTGGAAAAGGTTATCTTATCAACATTCCCAAAAGAATTTATTTGCGATTGTTTGCAATGTGCCTAAGGCAAACGAAATATTCGAAGTGAAACAGATTTTTGTATGACGTCAAGCAATGCCTGTATATTCGGTCAGCACAAAATTGTTTATAAAACAAATCGTGTTTAAATTTAGAAAAATAGCACAATAACAAAAGCGTTTCAGATATCGAAATTTTTCTGTATCGTGAATTTATGCATAGTATAGATTGTATGTACATATAAATATACACATATGTATATTTGTTACATATAGCAAACTCTCTTTTGCATAAAAAAACATGCTTTCAATAATTTATCAAATCAATTGGATAGCGCCAATTTCCTTGCAAGACTTTCGAAAGCTGAAATCGTTCACATGAGTTACTTACACACACACACACTTGCACACACAGATACTAGCGTATATTTATGTAGATAGATGTAAGTGATGCCTCATCGATTGCCGCCTACGGGCATTGTCATTAAATTAATCAAACGCTTAACATGCAACGCCGACAACGGCAGCTCCAATTTGATGTTGATGTTGATGTTGCCACATGCAAATTTCGAATTCAAATTCAAATTGAAGCTTAGCCGGTTTTTCCTTATCTGCTATGGACGTGCTGGTTAACTAGTTTTAAGCCCGGAGCAATACAACGCTGATGAGATAATCGCAAGACGCCAAAATGTCTTGTCATACATGGAAGCACTTTACGAAAGCATTAACCAGTTGCCATTGCAAAAGTCAGTGTCAGGAACATCTATTGCAGAGTTAAATTTAAACTCGCAGTGCCAGCAGACCGGAAAATGGGCGAAGCGAATTTTCGTTTCTTCACACCTCTCGCAGAAAGCGCTTAAATTGTATAAATAAATAACAATAACGAAGAGGCAGAGCATGATGATCTAAGTTTGTTGCTCATTTGCTGCTTACATATATAACTGTGGAATCGTTAAATTCTTTTCGCCTGAAAAGAATTCACATAGCAAACAGAGTATATTGGTTTCAAGTCTGAAAGTTGATAATGGATGAGATTATAAATATAAATAAGTTTAAGATCTCACTCATAGATTACCAGGTGAATCACCGTTGACCTTCTCTACAGATTAACTTTTAAATTATATAGTGCATTGCGAAAACGGAGAAATATGAATGTTAAACTTAAACTTGCTTTTTAACCGTAATTCCGCAGTATGCAGTTGACTTTGCTCAACTGAAACCTTAATTATCTTGAAGCCTTCAATTTTTAATTGTATCAATGAAGCCTATTCTCGTATATAATTATTTTAGCGCATTCATTATAGTAATTTTTTTTGCTGTAAGCTTTTGTAATATAGAAAATGTTTTCCAGATTATGGACTGTAGTTATTCTGAGCCCAGAAACTTATATTAAAATCGAATTAGTAATTACTCGGGAGCTACACATATTGTATTAACTTAACATTTCAAATAAATTAAAAAATTATCAAAATCTAATCTTTCTAAAATTTTTGAAGACTTTTGATCTGACTTTTGACTTTTTATCTGAAATATTTAGCTTCTACAAACAGTTTCTGAGTCGTAGAATAACAGATGGTTAAATTTCAATTCAATTGAATAAAAGCGTTGATCAACAAATATACTATTGATATATCTTTCCCAATCTTGTTAAATATATATCCCAAGCGATAAATGACTTGACGCAAAAAGTTGTGAAAAGAATTACGAAAATGATCAAAAGCCAAATACAAAATAAAAAACAAAAACAAAACTAAACAAATTACGCAATTAAAAAAGGGCATAGGCCAAGAGGGGAAAGGGTGGACGGCGAGCCCTGTCGGAGAGCGTATATTTTATGGCTGAGATTGGTGTGTAACCGTTTTGCTATCGTTGGGCATATTCGTGAGATCGGTGCTAGCTAGCTGGTTGAAATTTAATCAGACATATGGCGCGTTTTCAACGCGTTTCGCACGCGTCTTTCACTCCTATAGTTGTGTTGGTTGTTGTGTAAATAGAAATAAATTTAAACCATTTGAGAATAATATGCGCAGTTTCCACAGAGCTTTTAGGGCTTCTATACATGTACATATATACAGTTACATGTCTATTGTTATACGATACGCTCTATACACATTTATAGTGTATGTGGCAAGTCTTGGAGTTGAGACTGAGAGTCTGGTATATAGTAGGTCTATCTGTATGTGGTCTATAGAGCACAGCACTTGAAGCTCTTGATGCGGCCAATTAGCTGGACTGTGTGGCAACCTACATACATTGGAATGAACCGTATGCCAACTATGCGAACCCATACACCACACACACACACACATCGGAGTGTGTGTGTAGGTGGCTGATTGGCCAAGTGGCGTCGATAGTGACACGTAAGCAACGCTTCCAGCTATCAGTTGAGCAATGTGCGCCACGTTGTCCATTTTCAGTCGAAAGCATCTGCTAATGGCCCGTGTAATAAGCACATTAAAATCTAATGGTGACGCTGACTTCCGCTTCTGCATACAATTAAACTGACTTGCGAGCTGCCATGTGGTCATAAACAGCTCGCAAAGCGCAGAGAGTCAAGTTCAAGCGAACGCGTAGGCGTTCGAGTGCGCGCGACTTCAGCGCGATTCGCTGGCGACTTTTCTGAAGAATTTCAAAGGCAACTTCGTTGATTATGTGGGCTTCAGCTGGAAAGTGCTTGACAAGTGCAACTAGTTGCTTGCTTACGATCGTCATGGCACAACGTGTGTGTGTGTGTGGGCGCGCTTTTCAACTGCATTCAAGAAATTGAATGCTGCCTTTTCATGTCGAAAAATGTGAAAGGTTGGCAGATGGAAAGAGCTCAAGAGATTTTGAATAAAGAGATGCATGTCCAAAATGCTGAACGATGGAAAGTAAATCTTTAAAATTTATGCAGCTACCGAAATAAATATGCAATTGTGTTAATTGATTCAAAAATACATTTACAAAGCAGCAATCTGATATTTTCACCTTATAGTCTGAAGCAGTCAATTGCCGCGACTAATAATCAAGTTATAAATCATTCGTTTATCTCAATTCAGCCACGACTATGAATTGATAAATAGTTAATGTATTTTGTATGCAGTGAGGAAATCAGTTTATGGAGATAATTAATTGATTCATTTGTTCAGAAAACTTTTGTTTCGTCTATTTAGTAAATTTAGTTAGCTAAATTACAATATCAAGCCGAAGGCCTAGCAGTTAGTGCTTTAGCTATTATAGCTAATATTAATGTCAATTGTACCTGGATTTTTTATTTATTTAGTTTTTGTATTATATGTTTGAAGTAACCCTTATTATAAAATAATTTTTAAGAAATACCTAAAGCTTTATAAAATTGTTAAGCATTTTAATAAAATAATACTTGAATTAAACAATTAAATTTCTATATTCATACAATTTACCACAGCATAAATCTAAAATCATAAGTCTTCTATATAAGACTTTGAATAATAATTGATATGCCTATTTGTTTTCTTATATAGGAGTTTCTATTGGGAATATGGATACTTTAAAAAATGAATTGTAACTAGTATTGTAATATATATTATTTAAAGGGATATTTGCTTAATTTACCCAATGTTCGTTGTCAATAAATATGCTCTTGGCTATACTAAATAATTATGATATTATATTATGTTTATATTAGAATTAATGTAAAATTAAGAGAATTAAGCACTGGCAGCTTAGAAATTTAGATCACTGTAAAGTTATTTTCTTAGCAATTTTTTGTATAGTCTGCTCTCTATAATTGAAAGTTAATTGAGATAAATTTATGATTTTTTTGTAACTACCTATCCACACATATATATTTATGATAGACAATCATGACCCATATGCCCAGCGACTAAATAAAAAAAAAAAAAAAAAACCCGCAGCGTGTGCATTGAAATGAATATAGTCAATATAAATCATGTCAATTGCTTTGATTTCAAATTCAGCGGGCATAGGAAAAATAAAAAACAAATCAACTGAATTGTGCAGGCGCCTAAAATATAGGTTGATCAAGCTGTTCAAAGCGATTTCGCTGGGGGCCTAAAAGCGAATCGTTGTTGTGCAGTCAGCGTGTGCCTCGTTGTTTGTATCTTGCGGATACAAATGTATCTTTGAATCGTGTGCCGTGCTGTTGTTCAGTTTAATTTTAATCATTGTTGAACTCTTGCTCAACCTCCCACACAATTTGTTTGCGCATCGACGCGTAATTAAATTTGACATTTTTTGTGCTACTTTTTACGCGAAACACAATGCAGACAAAAAAACATTGTTGTATCTGTTGTTGGAGCGATACTCGTTGTTGGCCAAAATTGCTCAATCTGTGCGTCTAGTGGGAGCAAATGTCTTGATATATGCCAGAGCTTTGCTAAACCGGTCAAAAATCGTTCTACCAAATTTGACAAGTTGAAAGCACGCGGCTTCGGCTTTTTATTTTTACCAAAACTCGAATCGAGACTTGGCTTTTGGGACTGATAATTCTTCTCTCTATGTGTACGTACGTTCGTATATTGTCTGTGGGGCTTTCCGCATGAGGCTTTCAATCACTTGAGTTGGCAAATGCCACAAGTATAAATCAATTAAAGTTGTTGCAGCTGCACTGCTCAGCTGCCGCCTTTGAAGTTGCAGGGTGAACGAACGAATGAAAAGTTTTTATTTTTATTTATCATTTATTGCTTTCGCAATGGTAAACTTTTAGCACACGCACATGGCGCTATGTATCTTTGGGATACATTTGTGCACATCTATCTAGGCATTCATATATGTATACATATATATTGTCGCAGTCAGCCGTCACACTTGCTCATGGTCATGAACAGACATTGAACGCGTTCAACAACTAAATCTAATATGATTCTCTAAAATTTTCCTTTTGCTCGCGAAAGTGAGAAATATATAGTAAAAAGTCGGCATAAAAATGATTCATTTATGAAACGAGCAAGCGAACAAATACAAAATGAATTATAAATAGTCCACAAGGTCGCGAGCATTTTGTGCTCTCTAGATATCTATAGATTTTATAATAAATAAAATGCTTTCAGCCGGCCTCTGTTTGTTCAGGCAGCAGTCCGAGCAGCTACCTCAAAGACTTGTAATTAAATGGAATTATCTAACACAACAACATTTTAAATATCTATTTGGCAGTTTTAAATTCTAAACAGCTGCGTTTGAAAATCATTTGCCAAGCATACACCTTTAATTAAATACATATTTTGTGGTTTTTCGTTCGCTTTAAACATGCTCGTGCACCACTGTACCAAAGTCAACGCCTACTTTAGTTTGTGAAGGTGTGCGGCCGCTTCATTTATGGCATTAGAACATTTTTCTAGAAATGTATTCCATTTAGAATTCCGCTATTTTATCTTACTGCCTGCCCGATTGCCTTGTAAATTTTAACCTTCACGTTTTGCTGCTCGCTCTCTTGGCTTTTGGCATACTCTGGCAAACGTAATGCTTGAACGGGTGTATTCAGATTGCAGGAGATAAAAGCGCAAAGGTGTTAATATTTCGGATATTGTTGAAATTAAAAAGAAAACAAAATAGACATTTGTTGGTTATTAATTTTAAAAATAAATGGTATATGCATTTTAATATATATTTTTGCTGAGATTAATATCATATAATCTATTTACAATATCAGATTACAGAGCAATCTATAGTCGATCTATGTACAAGCTTTTCTGCTGTTCTGTTTTTATTTCATTTTTATTAGTTCCTAATGTGTTTGAATACTCAAGCCTAAAAGGCAACCTTATAGAGCGTTGTAGCTTGAAATAAATAGTATATTCGAGTATATATAATTATATACAGATATACATATTTATGCTTGTGTCAGAGTTGAGTGCTCATCAATGTTTGGGCAATGACAACGCTTCATTAAGTTGTCTTATGTATATTTATGTCTGTATATCTACACAGAATCTCGTTATCCTTAGCGACAATTCACAGATGAAACAGGTGTTTCTCTTCTGCCATGCTTAACAATTGGCTTGAATTTATTCCATGCTCGTATCTCCTTATCGACTTTGAATGTGATTTTTATTGGGCATGGCTGACTGGCATACCTAAAAAGTAGCGCAGACCGTGGCCAAAAATGATAATTTATGCTAAATATTACGTATACGCCCACGCAGGCCGCTCGAGCTGAGTGCGTTTACTTGTCGATTCGCAATATATGTACATTCGCCCAGTCGATATGCATTTTCGGTTGTTTTGCACTTTCTTTAGTCTCAGACTTTAGACTCATATGCCCAAAAATAAAATTTAGCATTGTGGGTTGTTGACGTCAATTTCAATGTCAACGCGTTCTCTTTCAGTGGGAGATGGAGCTGACATCATGCCGAGCAATGCAGCGCTAAGGAAACACAATTCAGTATAAATAAACACACACACATAGATATATATATATACATGCAGTCATGCCTTTATAGAGCGCAATTGCAAAAGCCAAAATAAACGAAGGAAAAAAATAAATAAACAAACTGTTTTGTTTTGCTCATAAGTTTTCATCAATGCCGTCCACAAATTGGGTCAGAAGAAACCGATTTAGGTGAGAGCAGGCCTCGCGATCAGAACGTAAACGGGAGCTGTTTGTTAGTAATAATATTTAATTGCATTTGCTTTTTTGTTGTTCTTGTTGTTTAGCGTATTAATCATAATTTGTTGGCGTTTGCTGCTGCCGTTGCAGGCGCTCAGAAATTGCTGAGCTTTGAAACGCGATCGTTGAAGTCAAGTGATCATGATCATTTGAATATTGGAATTGCTGTCGACGACGGCGACGACGCCGTCGAAGGCAACAACAACAACAACAACAACAACAAACACCAACAACAACGACGACAGCTAAATGAAATTGAATATATTTTGTATAAATAATAAAATGAGACACACGACTGCGTCTACTACTGCGACTGCGACAGCGACTTGCGAGTGGCAAGGGGCGAGGGGCACCTTGCGACAGTCAATGGCAGACGATCGTCTTCGATCGACAGTGGCAAAGGGGGAGGGAACTAGGAACTTTGTTAGCTGGTCCCCCACCAGCCGAAAGCTGTACGCCTGTTATTTCAATTTCGTGGCGATCGTTTATCACTTGATTTGCATTTGGCGTTCAATCGATCGCTCGATCAGGCTGCCCACTGCCCAGGCAGACTCTATTATTTCAACTTTTTTCAATTTATTTATTTATTTTCTTATTTTTTGCAATTGCATTTGCTTGCCAATTGGCCGCTGATAATGTCACACACTTGGCATTTGCATTAGCATTTCCATCCGCATTGAAGGGCTGCCAAATAAGTAGACTGGCAGTTGGCCAAATTTCACTTACACTTTCTAATCTCTCACGCACTTCACTTTCAACGTAAGCCCTTTTTCAACAATTGGCAATTAATGATAATTATTTATTGTGTTTCCTTTGGTTGAGAACTCTATCGATCGTCGGCCCAGCTTTAATTTTAACACGACTTTTTGGCACGGTTTGCGCGCGTTTTCGTTGTGCTTGCGGTGAGTTTCACGTAGCGACTGAAATCGCGCGCACGCTATTCATGAGAGTCGCATAGAGAGGCGATCGACAGCGAACGGTTGTTGCTCTCAACTCTCAAGCGATGGGCTGCTGCGACGTCGACGTCGGCGACAACGGCGCCGTTGATTAATTTTTATTTTGTATTTTGTTTTCTGGCATAGAAAAGTTCTGAGACTTGAGATTTCTTGGCAATACTCAAGCTTTCGTTGTGGAGCTTTCTCTACTATGGGAACTTGTAAGTCTTTAAAGAAAACCTGTTATTGTTATTGGCCTGTGTTTTTTTTTATTGCTTGCCACAGACTTATCAAACAAAAATAGACTAAACTAACAATGGACCTTTGTTTGCTTGGTGATATCAACGACAACGTTTTGCACTAGATCCCTGAACAAATCATTAGACAAAGTCGCTCATTACCCGGGCAGCTGGTCATCGTGGTTGTATTTGTTGCATTTTCAAGAACTCTGTGTGCATGTGAACGTCTCGCACGCGACCCTGTACCAGTTGCAGACCCACTCCAGCATCGACATCCGTATCCCATGGAACTCTGACTAGTTTTGTTTAAGATACGCGCCATAGATATGATGGCAACACGCTTCGCCGTCGCCCATTTTTGGTTAGTTTGGCCTGTTTGCCAGTGGATCGTGGTTTCTACTTTTGTTTTTGGGCAATGCTTACTAATGCTTACACAAATGGTAAATGCTACATTCAACCTATTGGCAATGGACTTCTATTTGTGGCCAGTTTACTTTCGTTACAGCTCGAATTATGTAGTTTCATCAGGAATTCTTCAATTTCTACTTTAATTCAATTTGAAAAAAACTACGAATTATGCATTTTCTATTTATTTTGAAGAGTATTCAAGCTTCAGCAATTCGCTTATACATATATCTCTCATTGACCTACAAATGATCTATTCTATGCAAATTTGTGCTACATTTGAGGTTGCAATTGAAAAATTTCTTCACAAATTCATAAAGAGTATTGGCTGTCGTTTGTGGATACCCTATGTCCATGAGATATAGCTTTGAAAAAATTTATTGTTGGGTTGTTTTTTTTTTAATTTTATTTTTTATTTTATTTTTTAATAAATTTTATTGTTGGGTTGTTTTTTTTTAATTTTATTTTTTATTTTATTTTTTAATATTTCAAAAATTTACTTTAAAAATGACTTCTATATTTTGATGATGACAAACAATAATGAGGAATCTGATAATACAATTTGATTTATACTAATGATAAAAAGTTTACAGAGTTACTGATAGATAACCTAGATCTAATATTCATTTATATATAGTTTCATATACGTATAAGTACTATTTCTGTTTTAACATAATATATAGTTGGTTCTGTTCATTATAAATTATTATTTATTGGATTATAAAATTTAAAAAAGCTAGCAAGTATACCTAATGTTGAATCTTGAAAGTGTATCGGAATTGTGCTCGGGTTTGGCAGGAAACTGTTGAACTTTTAGCTTTTTGGATACATTTGTAGAACAAGTTCGTCTTCGATACCAAACCGCAAACAACTAGAACGCTGTTTATAACTATTACTTCCTAACATTGAAGATGCAGAATGAAAATCCATTAGTACAAAGGCTCCATTTTCACCTGACAAATAAGTGCAATCTTTCACCTGAATGCATTCTACGCACATATATTGTTAAACCTAATCCATATTTAAGTTTCAGGGCAGGATTTAAAAATAAAAATAATGTAATTTATTTCAAATGCAGTGCCGCCAAATTATAGCATGCATCAAATAATTTCAAGCGTAATATAATAAATAATAGAATACACTTTTTTTACGGCCAACAAGCAGAATCTAGTGTAAAATACAATAAAAAATATTTGATTTTTCTTCTTTATTTAAAAATGCAATAATATAAGTATATTGATTCTGCTTCAGTGATTTTTAGCTATAAATGCTAAAAAAGTAATACTCAAGCGCTTTGGTTTATTTTTGGCTGTATATGCTTTATTGGAAAATTTTTATTTTTATTTTAAATTAAATAATTTAGTCAGGTATATAGAGAAATAATTAAGATCATAAATCGCTCAGCAGGGTAATAAAACGGCGCATTGGGTTTTGTCTGTCAGTGTTGTGTGTATATTCTGCCTAAGGATGTAATAATCATTGCTGTTTCGTTGTTCGTCATTCACATTTGGCGCACTTAGCGCAATTTAACCAATTGATTTTGATGTTGATTATCCTGGAGTCGAACGCTGGCCTCGATCGTTGGCTCCGGATTGCGGCTGCTGCTTTCCTTACTTGTAACTGACTATGCCTAACTAAAATTTTGTGTTGACCTTAGACGATTGCACGGATGCACGCTGTTCTAGCTGGAACTGGTATCCATATTTATTATTTTCCTTTGCTGGCAGCCGCGGCAGCTGCAGCTGCAGCCGCATCTTCTTCCTTTTTCTTTTGTTTCTCTCTCATCAGTTCAGCGTCCCTGCAAATAATAAACAAATACTCAAGATAGTTGTACAGGTAGAGGTATAGGTGTAGGTCTAGTTATCAGGTAACTTCCATCTCACCGGGCTTTGCGTTGCTCTACTGTAAGGGCATCGGAGCGTTTTCCTTTGGTTTGTTCAGCCAATTTCTTTTGATTTTTGGCCCGAGCCAGATCTCTTTGATTGCCGCCTTTAAAAAAATAATAGTGATTTTTTATTAACATATTTTGAAAAGCATTTTTTATTTAACCGCTAACTTTACGTTTAGTCTCGCGTGCTAATTTATTAAAGCTCATTTGTAGAGGTTAGACGAGCGCCATGCATAATATACATACATATACACACATATATATGTATAGACATATATACATATAGATATATATATGCATATATGTATAAATTTATTCTTATATACATATATATAAAGTCTTATATGCGGTCACAAGAAATACAATCAATATTCTTTTATCTATTGGCTTTATGGATTTCCAATCATATTATTTTAGTTATGGAAACCTCGGCATTTATTTGATTCGCGATTCTCTACAGCCAACAGACAGAAAAAAGAAAAGATATGCAATGTACAGTTCACTTACGAGTCATTTTGCGCTCCTTATAGGCAGCTTCTTTAATTCAACAATTTTGATCCAAATATTATATTTTATTTGTTCTATATAGTAGAAATTTTGTTTGATATTTCGTTTAGCTGTACTGTCAAACGTCAGCAGCAATAGTTTACTGAAGCATCGATACTGATACTTTTTGTCGTATAGACACGTCAAATTAATATCGATATCTGTAGTGTTCAGCAATATATCGGCTATGTGTGTTGGTAAATGCGAGTGAATATTAATATTGCCAGATTCGAAAATTTGTCATTTACCGTTTAATCTTAGTAGCGCGCAGACCAAGTTTACACAATTTTGGTTTTGCATGAGTTTTATCTCAGATTTCCGCGAACATGGATTCTGATTTGATGGACTTTTTTGATTTTTCAAAGCAGTTTAGCCGCGCACCAGCACCAAAAGGCTATATAACTGGCGACCCGACAGCGTTTGCCACAGAGACTATAGATTCCAAGCCGATCAAGCGAGAGTTAATAGGCAAAGATTATGTACATGAAGTTGTCGAGAAAGAGAAGCACCTCATGAAAAAAGTATGTGTGCATGCACATTTATATTTGTGTGTGTGAGTGGTTTGTAATTGGAGCCTCGCTTTGCTTTTTGTTTATAAACAGCTTGCTGACGGGTACAATACATCGAAAAATAGGAGAACTCTCGATGAACTGGACAGCGATGATGACGAAGTGCTAATGAAAGAGCTGCCCAGCGTGCGTTCAGATGAAGAATACTACAAGAAATATCGATTCGATTTAAATCGTAACAAAAATCTTCCCATCTACGAACAACGTGAGGATATTCTAGCAGCCATAAGAGAAAATCCAGTGGTAATTTTGAAAGGCGAGACCGGCTGTGGTAAGACTACACAGGTATGTACCATTGGATACCATTTATACCAAGTTTCAGTTAAATTATTTAAAATGAACGCTAGACATAATTGAAAACTAACGCACAATATTCATGTGTATATGCAATCCCACGTGTTGTCGGATGCTTTAGCTGTAGATTAGATTTAGAATCCCATTTACATGGGTTTCCATTATAAAAGTATAGTCGTATAGTCATCAGAGAAGCAATAACCAAGTTGTTGAAGATCTAAGAGTTTCTTAAATTTTTGTCCATATAAATTTAATATTTTACATTTATCTTAAATATAATGTTCGTTGAATATCTCACAGTCAAAGCTCTTAATTGATATATTATAACTAATGCTTTTCGCATTCCAAGTCGCGAATCACATCATCCGGTAATCTGCGCGAAAACACCGTCGCCGATGACATACGTCGCTCGTGATGATCGTGTGGTTCGGGCAATGCCTTTTCATCTATCTCTTCAGTTGGCGCCTGTTCTTTGGTTTCGCCATACATCGCTTTGAGACGGGCTCGCTTTCGCAGATCCAGTTGCTCATTTGGGGAGCGAGATGTTGTGGGGCGCTGCTCGTCCGTTAGCAGATCGTTAATCTGACAGAAAACATCCCGCAAATGGCTGAATATGTTAGTAGCGGGAAACGAATGACGATGTGGCTCCATCTGTTTGTTGTATGCCGTCTCCAGCTCGCACAAAGTCTGACAGTTGGCTGACATTTCCGCCAGCTCGTGTAGCTCGTCGGAAAGCGTGCTAACGCTCGAATTCAGCTGTTGCTTTAACAGCGCCGCTCTATTATTTGTTTTCTGTTTGGCTTCCGCGAAGCTCTCCAAGCTGTCGTAGGCTGCCAGAGAATCTAGCGCCTGGCAGTAATCCAAAGCTGTGTAGCGGAAAGCTTGCTGTTTAACCAGCTGCCAGAATATGTAACTGACTTGCTGCGTATCGCTTCGATCCGTGCATTCACTCCGCAGGTGTTCCAGATAGCCGGTGAGGGACTCCCAAGTGCGAGGCGACACCTCAATCTTGACAAATAATTTCGTTGGCTGCTTGTTGTAGATGGCATATAGCAAATATATGGCGCCAATACGCTGAGCGCGCGTCGCCAGGAATGGCTCACCGCTAGTGCGACGACCACATGCCACCCGTTTGCCAACGTGCAAGGCGGCCATTGTGGTCTCAATCACTTCAATGTGATTGGTTTGCGCTGAGTAAATATGCTGCATTTGCAACTCGTGCCATGTTTGGCAGAACAGTTCGAACTTTGCCTCATTTAAAGCGTCAGCGGCTCGTCCAAAGTGTTGCAGCAGTTGCCAGCAGTCGCCATATACATTTTGCTCCATGCAATGATTTGTGCTATTATTTATTGATCTTTCGAAATTCCGTCTCTTGTGCTTGCACTTTAAAATTTGTTTACAACATTGTGTTGTGCTGCCATCTAGACGATGGATTGCGACTATCGAAAAGAATTTTTATAATATTGTTATCGATTATCTTGTTACATTTGTTGTCCGCTAGGTGCCGCAATATATTCTCGATGAGGCATTCAAACGGCGCGAATTTTGTAATATTGTCGTTACGCAGCCGCGCCGCATTGCGGCCATTTCGATTGCCAATCGTGTGTGCCATGAGAGAAAATGGCAACCGGGTACTGTGTGCAGCTATCAGGTGGGATTACATCGCCAATCGAATCTGGAGGACACGCGTCTATTGTACTGCACCACAGGTGTTTTGCTAAACAATCTTGTACGAGTCAAAACGCTAACTCAATACACACACATCATACTGGATGAGGTGCACGAGCGTGATCAAGATATGGACTTCTTATTACTTGTGGTGCGTCGCTTGCTTGCACTTAATTCACGCCATGTGAAAGTCATCCTGATGTCGGCCACAATTGATACACGCGAGTTTTCAAAATACTTTGCCATGAGCTCATCACTGCCTCCCGTGGTGACCGCTAGCCATGGACGAAAATTTCCTCTTGTCAAATTCTATCGCGATCAGCTGAAGAATATACACTGGAAGGATGAGCCTCAGCGGACCACACCGGGCATAGGACCTGAGGGCTATAGCGATGCCATTAAACTGCTTTTGGTCATTGATAATATGGAGCGTAAGGCCGATAATCAATCTCAGCAGTCCTATGAAGAGGCCAAGCGCACTGGCGCTGTACTGATCTTTCTGCCGGGCATCCACGAGATTGATACAATGGCGGAACATATAGGCCGAATCGTCGATGAGAAGTAAGTAAAGAAACAATTTAGAAAGATATTTAAGATATTTATTTTAATATTCTATTTATTCGCAGCCCTAACTTTAAAATTAGTATTGTGCGCTGTCACTCGCTCATGTCCCCCGATTCGCAGGAGGAAGTTTTTCTGCCTCCTCCTCTTGGCCATCGCAAGGTCATATTGACAACCAACATTTCGGAGAGTTCTATTACAGTGCCAGATGTTTCCTATGTAATTGATTTTTGCTTAACTAAGGTTCTGCACACCGATACCGCCTCCAATTTTAGCAGCCTGCGTTTGGAATGGGCTTCTAAGGTTAATTGCCGTCAACGTGCTGGACGCGTTGGCCGCCTACGTAGCGGACGCGTTTATCGTATGGTTACTAAAGACTTTTATATGAATCATATGAATGAGTTTGGCATACCAGAAATGCTGCGATCGCCGCTCCAAAATTCGGTTCTGAAAGCCAAAGAACTGGAAATGGGCAACCCGAGTGAGATTTTGGCCCTAGCTATGTCTCCGCCTAATCTTTCTGACATACAAAACACGGTGTTGCTTCTCAAGGAGGTGGGCGCCTTGTATACTACCGTTGATGGCGTTTATGAGGAGCTTGATGGCGATCTTAGCTTCTGGGGCAAAATCATGTCCAAATTTCCACTAGATGTACGTCTCAGCCGCTTGATTATACTGGGATACGTCTTCAATTGTCTGGATGAGGCCATTGTCATTGGTATGTGATAAAGCGATCGCTCAGTGGATTTCATTTAAGAAAATTTTGTTCTCAGCGGCTGGCATGACTGTGCGTAGCTTGTACGTGACTGGAAGCCGGGGACAGATGAACGAGGCGTTTTGGATGCACTACATATTTGCCGATGGTTCCGGCTCAGATATGATTGGCATTTGGCGCGTCTATAGAGTAAGGAATAAATGGAAAAACATCATGAACCTATTTAAAATTTGACCATTTGTTGTATTTTGTTTAGATATATCTGAATATGTGCCAGGATCGTATGCTCAAGGAGTCGGCACAGCAATGGGCCAGGCGCTTTAACGTTAACTTGCGCTCGCTTAAGGAGATGCACTTGATGGTACAGGACTTGCGCCAGCGATGCGCAAGTCTCAATATACAGCCCTTGCCCTATGGTGCCTGCCATATGTGGGATGATCGCGAGAAGTCTATAATTCTAAAGGTAATCATCGCTGGAGCGTTCTATCCAAATTATTTTATGCGCAGCAACAAAGCGAATGCCGATTATGATCGGAGCTTATTCCAAACTATATGCGGTAATGATCCATGTCGTACCGTCTACTTCACCAATTTTGAGCCACGCTACATGGGCGAGCTATACACACGACGCATCAAGGAACTGTTTTTGGAGGCAAAAATCCCACCTGAGAACATTGACGTCACCTTCCAGCATGGGTCAGAAAAGGTATTTGTAACGTTTAAGCCAGACGATGAGGATATCGATACCACAAAGGTCGTGCAGGTGCCGGGTCGTGTCATGACCGAGGTATATAAAGCAGTGCGCATGCGTCTTGAGAATCAAAATCGCCCACTGCGCGTCATGGAGTAAGTATATTAAGCATCTCTATAACAATCAACTAACTGTGCGCTCTACAGTCAAAACTCAGCGTTTAAGTATGTCGAGCAGAATCGAATTGGAGTAATCAGCGACTGTACCTGGGTGCCGCCATCAAATCAATGGCCTGTAGAACTACTCACGTTGCCATCCGTATTTGACAAGACCATCTTTGGACTAATAACCCATGTAACTAGACTTGGCATATTTTCTTCTTTTACTAAATGGATCTTTATTATGTGAATCTCCTTTATCTACAGGTTGCCAATTGTGGCAAGTTTTATTTTCAGCCACAAGCGCTCGCCGAGCGTATTGCGAGCATGTCGGAGATATTCAATAGATCCTTGGAACTTAGCTGCTATGTACAGAACGCCAAGGCAGTTACGAAGGGTCTGCAATTGTTGGCAAAGCGGGGAAACCTTTACCAGCGCGCAGTCGTACTAAAAGTAGAGACACAGATAAATGGTTATCCAAGGTTCCGTGTGCGTTTTATTGATTATGGTGATGTGGCAGTGGTGCCCATAGATAAGCTGCGTCTTATGTCGCCTCAGCTGAAACGTGACTTTGAGCGTTTGCCGCCGCGAATGTTTGAATGCCGCTTGGCATTGGTGCAGCCGTCGTCAGTGGCTAGCTCTTATAATCAGTGGCCTCAGCACGCCAACGAAATGTTGATTTCGGTTGCCAAGTCCGGGCGGGTCGAGTTAGAGATTTACTCGCTGGTCAACAATGTGGCTGCTGTTTTGATACATACGCGCGGTGGAGTGTTGAACGATATGCTGGTGGACCGTCAATTAGCTCGACGTGCTGACGAGGACTATATGTCACGCAAGGATCACGATTTGCGATTGCGTAAGCAGGAGACCAAACGTAATGTTTCAATTACAGACCAAAGGCTCATCAATGAAGAGTATTTACGTTTTGCCCAATTGCCAAAGGATACGGACTTGGAGCCACCGCCTCTTAATAAATGCAATCTTAGCATACGCCTCAAAGGCCCATATAGCCCGCTCGAGGCCAGCTTGAATTCTTTGCTCCGCATTGGCATGTATAAGTCGGTATACATTGACAAGGAATCTGTCAATTCAGTACTCTTGGACAGTGATCCACAGGATCGTCATGACCAAATGGTGGTGGCTGCCTCAGTGACTGAAGCCTTTGACAATTTGACGGTTCGTGGAACAACTCTGATGCCCAACATACATGGCTTTGGTGCTCTCATGGCCATGCTCTTCTGCCCTACGATGCAAATCAAATGCAACAAGGACCGTACAAAGTACGTATCCATACTAGCAGGGCTCGGGTACAATCCCGACACTATGCAGCCGCATTTTGAGGAGCACGACATGGTCATCAATTTGGATGTGGCTATACTTAAAGATGATATTCGTATTGTAAGTAGTTTTGTCTTAATATCTAAAAAAAGGTGATTTTAATAATCTGAATTTTTTTCTATTTCAGATAAACCAAATGCGTTATAATATTGACAGTATGTTTTACAATTTCGATGTGAACGAAATGCCCTCTGTGGGAACGGAGGATCGCGTAGTAATATTTAATCAGTTGCGATCGCTGCTTATTCGGTTTGTGATATTGAAACTATGTACAAAATTGTGATATTTAATTTATCATATTCTCTTTTCAGTCTGCTCGGCAAGGATCGGAGTTTCATTGAACGTCATGTTTCGAATTTCGAATACCTTTGGGAGGACATGTCTGACTTGGAGCCGCCTTCCGAACCATACGGCAAGCGTGCTATATTCCCTATGCACAGCTCATATGATTTTGAAAGCGAGAATATGGGCAATTTGTTATCGCTGCAAGCGAACTGCAAGGAATTATACAGCTGGCGAAACTTGTAAATATTTTTCAGCTATTTGCTTGAGAGAATATTATACTAAAAATTGTTTTGCTTGCAGCGAGGGCACCATGCAGCCCATGAAATGCAGATTGTGCAACGATACGCTCGAGTCCGTTGCTGAGTTGCGATTGCATTTGCTGACCCAACTGCATCGCGATCGGGAGAAGCAAGTGGGCTGGAAGCAGAACTAATCTCTGCATTTGACATGATATTTAACACGCCTTCTTGAAGAGCGACTTTTTTCACCTTTGACATAAAAGATGACACTTTAATCATATAATTCTTATTTTGAATTCACAATTCTTTGTTTTAAGCCTGTTTAACTGCAATTTATGAAATTAATTGCAACAAATTTAATTAAGAAACACAAACTTTAAAAGTTTGCTCATTAGCAAATTTTTTCGCTTTTCATCATAACAAATCAATGAATCATATCAAAGTGCTATTAATTTCCATTTTAATATTTGCTATTGAATAAATCCAAATTATTAAATATTTGAATGCAAAATTTCTCTTTAATCAAGTTAATTTGGAGTCCCGATAAGTATGCTACAATTTGTAAAATCTGTATAATTCTATGGTACATTTATCTCTGTAAATTTGAGAATCACTGCGTTAATTAAGTTTTATTAATAGCATTCTTAAGTTATATTTGTTCCTTTTTTATAGACCGCCGAGCCGTACATGAACTTTAGTTACGTTTTCGAGTTCGAGTTTTACAGCGTTCTCTTAACTTTAGTTATACTTTATGATTGTTCTTATGTAAGAAGTACTTCAGATACGTTC